TTTACAACAAAAAAAAAGATATTTCAAGTATGCTTAAGATAGCGAATCTCTATTTATTTCTACATTTGTAATGAAGACATAACATTTTCATACTCAAAGCGATTATATTAAAAAGATTCATGTCATATGTTGCTTTACAGTTAAACATTAGATTTTATTAAATTAATCAATAAACTAGAAACAAACGTAACACCCGTACTGAAATCGTTAGAATTCCCAAAAGAGGTTATTTTAATTTGCATAATGAACTTCTAAATTATCATTAGTAACTAAAGGTTAATAATGAGTAATAGTGAAAAGTAATAGTGAAATGTATAGACATTAACATTTAGCATAGGCTAATGCATTCATGAATTGTGCAATCATAAAAAATAAAGTCAGCTTTCAAAATGCTTATTACGCGTTTATTATGAAACAAGTCATGTACAAGATGTGCAATAAGAAGGAATTATTTAATAAAATAAAGTATACTTCGATATTTTTCAAGTTTTAATTGAGACGGTACCTCAATACGCTCTTGATTTTTATTCATTCACTGTTGTTTTGAAAATAAAGTAGTAATCGTCATTTTATTCATTCATTATGGATATATCCATTCCAACTTCAACTTTATACTGGATTGTTTTAATCCAGGATGAAAATAAAAAAATAAATAATTACAATAATCAGATTATATTTCTGCCAACTATTTTACTCTTCTATATGGACTCGGATCCAGCTTTAGAAAAAACGCTACGCTGCCAGGCGTATGTATATAAAAGCGTTCAAAACTAAGGAAGAGAGGTACATAACATACAAAATAATAATATTCATTTATAAGATAAATTGGCCTATTTAAAGAGACGTCTAGAAAGCTCTAGTATATTAATCTTTAAAAGACCCAATGCAGTACTTTCAGCAGCCATTAATAAGATTAATATCATTTTTAAAAGTTGTCCGCGCCATCGTGGTATTTTATAGCTCTACTATTCAATAAAGTGAATTGATAGGATTTATTCCTAGGGGGCAAGTTACTTATGCTGTAAGTAAGCGTAGTTTTTATTACTCACAGAATAATTGGAATATTTTACGTAATTGCCGGCGTCTCTAAAGCAATATTATTCCTTTACGTTTTCATTAAAATATGGATTCCAGTTTTTCAAAATTTCTTTACATTTTTTAGAACCACTTAAAAGTTAAGCAAGCAGCAGGAATACAGAGAATCCCAGAATGAGGTTACCCGTTCAGATCCCCGTAGAAAGTTACAAAACATTTAAGACCTGCGGATCTTACGTAAATACACTTACATCGAAATGTAAATCTTGAATAACTCACGTCAAAGTCAAAATAATCTTGATTTAAACTTATTAAAAGTACGTTTGAATTGTTCTATTTTTTTAACTTACCGTCCTTTCTGGACGTCTTTATATCTAACGATTTGAACATAAAGGTGAACTTTAAGATGAATCGATAAGATCAATAGGTACTACAGATTACAAACTGGCAATAATTTCTAAACAAAAAAAATGACAATTATAAACAATATAAAATGCGGATATTTCATAGATGTATGAGTATATCTAAAATTCTTGCTACCTGCATTATATACCATAAAAAATTATATATATTACATACGAACGACCCGTCCATTCGAAATATGATACAACCCTTCAGCATGTGAAGGATTTCAGATTCGCTATTGCCTTTAATAAATATTATTATTTTTAACCAGAAAAATCTTGATCCTACTCTCTCATTATTAAAATAAAACGGAACTTAATTAATCTTTTCAGTTGCTTCCTATTAGGACTTCAGGATTTGTTTTAAACAATGTTGCGATTTGTTTAAAAAAAAAACTCTTTCTTAAATAAATAAGTTATAAACTGTTTATTTTAATAGATTTTTCATGCGCAGAAATAATTTTTATTATAGGGTTGTGAATGAAAAAATATTATTAAGTAACTGTTTTCCCACAACTTCTTCCGCATAAATTGTCGTAGTGGTTTTTTATATTTATATATGGTTGTTGATGTTTTATATTGTTGGTATTTTATTTGTTTGGTTGGTTGGTTGGTATTTTATATATGGTAGTTATGGTTTTTTAAAATTTCATATAAAAACCATATATTTCATATACATAACTATACCAACATACATGTAATTTCTTACGTCGTTTTCTGTGGCTGTTTTATTAACAGAATAGCACTATATGCCTAAAAAACCCAGAACGATGTTTAAAAGCTATCTGTGCTGTTATATGAATGAGAACTCCCACTGTATTCCCTTTTAATTTCATGGGACCACATTTTCGTCATTTCACCGGGTACAATCATGCTTACCGCGTTTCTTTGTTTGTTTGACCTGCATTGTTTTTATACGATAAAACAAATGAGTATAGGAACACGGACTCGGTAAAAAAAATATTTACGCCATTTTGTTTATCAAACGTTATGTGTGATATAAAAATGTATTTATAATAAAATAAATTTCAATAGTTTAATAACGACTTTAACAGTAAACGTTGTTTGGGTACTATCTATTGATATTATTAAATTTGATTTTACTTATTAAGTACCAAGCATTAATTATGTCATGAGATTTCATGATCTTCACATAATAGATTTTTTAATGAGCAAGATAATCGACTTATACTTCTATAGTTATATATAAAATTAACTCCATGCTATCTTAAAAAACCGGTGAAGTGTAATTCGTTACATACGCACGAAGGATTCCATACCGAAAACGAGCAAATAAATCACGTTTGTTGTATAGGAACCCCCTTAAAAATTTATTTCATTAGACTTTTTAGTATATGTTGTTATAGTGGCAACAGAAATGCATCATGTGTGAAAATTTCAACTGTCTAACTATCACGGTTCATGATATACAGCCTGGTGACAGACAGACGGATGGACAGCGAATTCTTAATTATCCCGTCTTACCCTTTCGGTAGGGGACCCTAAAAATAAAAATAACTTAATGTGCCCCAAAAATTACTTAATGTACAGGCACTCATACATTTTTATTTAATTATAGGTTCCCGTTTTACCCTTGGGTAGGGGACCCTAAAAATAAAAATTACTTAATGTGCCCCAAAAATTACTTTACTGTGTGCATTTTCATTTTCATTTTATACCTTTGATATTTGTAATGAACATTAAACATTATCTATCAATTTGTTTACATTTAATAATTATATCAACAAAAATACTAATTCCTCTAATTTACACAAAATCCAATTAAGAGGTTCATTAAAATTTTAATTTAATTTTTAACGCCTGCTGATAACGTTACATTATTGCCACATAAAATGTTTATTACGTTTTATCTCAAATACCAACCTCAGTGAAGTTGTATAGAATTTTTTAAGTTTTATTTTATGCGTAATATGTTGGTTACTGTTGGTATAAGATACATTTTTGTTGTGATGGAATTGTGTGAGTTATATGTGTACAGATTATAGTTAATAAACTTAACAGATTCAACTTAGTCACTTTTGAAAATACAGCGTTGTCGAAGTATTAATAAAAAAAAACTTCAAGAGGTAACACTAATAGTTTTATTTGAGTCCTCATATTTACTTCAGAAATAAATGAATAATTCTTATGATCGCAGTCTAATTTATAAATGATTATAGCCTTTATCACACACGTATGACGAAGCTTCCGTAGATGATAGAATTTTTATGATCGGATCAGTATTTCTCAAACTTACCTCCTCTAAACAAACAAAGTTTGAAAACCTTACTTCTTTATAATAGTAATATGTAGATAAATCCAGAATCAATTGTGTCTCTTTACAATTTTTGGTTTATTGTTTCTATTATTACCTAAACCTATTTTGATAATTATTTTCATTATTATATACAGTTCATTACATCTGTTAAACGACTACCCAAAAAGGAGTGTTTTGTGTTTAGGGTTAATGTATGTATGAATTTGAGTTTCTGTATCCCATAACTTTTAAATGTATGGGGTATCATTAGAAACATTACATCATCCCGAGTAAGACTAGATATATATCTTTTTTTAATTATTCAATAGTGTGGATTTATAACGTCATTTAAAAAAAATGATGAAATATATATTTTTTAATTGTCATAAATATGGTTATCAAATTAAAGGTGTTGATGTATACTTTTTTACTGGTCACTAAAAAGAATAAATTATTAAGCCATAATAAAACCCTTTTTTTATTTTTAGTTCGATTGTATCAGTCGATTTTTTACTTTATAAATTATTTATTTTTTATTTGATTTCTTATAAGAGAAGTCCTGTTCCCCGGCAGAAGGTACACTAATAGGCTAATATACTAGATTTGGATAAGTGTACTGACATAATATATACCTTATTTTAACCTACCAAATTTGAACACAATCACACGAAAGATCGTTTTATTAAGCTTTTTTTGAAGACACTTTATTGTTTTACGAAACTTTAGTTCCAAGGAAGATTTTCAGTTATCCTTGTTACATTTCCCCTTTGTATAATCTACATGCACTGATTTCATCTAAATCCCCACTTGATATGTGACGGATTCTTATCCGGGTAACCCTTATTTTGAGCATCAGGATAAGGAATAATACGTACGGTCACTCAATTACCCATAACATCGGATGACATTTCTGATATAAATTTACAGTTATTGCGATTCCCTCGACTTCTTAATTGCTCTGTGCTATAGTAAAACTGGCATGTCGATTTAAATGTCACTAATCTTCGAATGTAAGAACTGTTTTATGTTTTTTTCTTAAAGATATTCAAAAGACAGTTTTGTTGCAAAAACTAAGGTTATTTATAGGTTTCCGAAATATCGAAAAGGAGGATATTATATGTTCAATGATGTATGTTCACTGATTTTTCCGCGAATTGTTTACCGATTATCAAAATTATTTGTCATCAGACAGTTTATGGGCTCAAGGCAAAAAGTTGATATTATTTAACATTATTGGCTCGAGGTGGTTCTATATAAAGTTTAGACCTCTAGATTTGCACTAATAAGTGTTTTTTTTTTTTCAGAATCATGGCAATCCTCAGCGCTCCTGTTATAAGCGCCTGTCAATGATGAGAATGGGACAGTTCCACCGGGCTCCCTGTTTATCCAATCCCCAAAAGGTTTGTATTTTTTGTGATATTTAACAGACCAATGAACCGCTATATTTACGGTAAACGCCAATAAATTGTGGAGTGATGTCCAAGGGTTAGATCGCAGGTGAAATTTTTAAAAAGTATTAGGGATTCCGTTAAAGATGGAGAATATCGACGATACTTTATACAATATTTGTTTTTTATACCAGTTTCTGCCCGTGAATTTGTTTGCGTGTCTTTTGAAGACCCTTTGTGGATTTTCTAAGAAAATAAATTGTCTATTTGATTTATTCTACCTTTTATATCTTACTTATCACAGATTTTATGGCTCTCCAACATAATATAAAAACTGTAGTTTATGATATCGGCGTTTTCTATCATTTGTCATATGTTCTTACAGAACACAAGACTAGTATTAGCAATAATTATTTGACATCTCGTACGACCGATTCTGTTTATCGTTTTCCTTAATATCCTGATAATTTGATGATTATAACAATCCGAATATATAAAATATAGGTATATCTACTTAAGCCACGTGTTGTTCAGCACCAGTTGAATAGAAAACTAGGTGCCTACACAGTATTGAACAAAACTACAACTTTCTGGTATAAGCAAAGATAGTTCTAGCATATGTAATTTGTTATAGGTATACCGCCCCTACGCTATCGTCCAAAAGTATCTACTACTCTCCAAAATCTATCATCACATACAAACCATAACATCCACAATTCAACTTTAATGAAAAACGCTCAAAAATCCACTTTATCTCTGGCACTCTGAGATGGGACTCGAACATGACCTTTTGACGACTGCTCTAACATCTGAGCTACCCAGGACCTAATAACCCTTACGATTTTTTCAAGCACTTGTTACTTTATCGCTACTACAGACTGTATTTTCATCAATGTTCAGGCAATCCACCCGAACAGCCTATTGGCAATCCACCAGAAAAATTCATCAGTCCTATTAGGTCCTGGGTAGCTCAGTGGTTAGAGCAATTGCCTGGATTGCGAAAGGTCATGGGTTCCAGTGCCAGGGACAAAGTGGATTTTTTAAGCATTTTTCATTAAGAATATTTTTCAGTATAGCATTTTTTTTATCAATTATAATAATCATTTAACGTTTAATTTCTTGCTCGTGCGATGACTTATAATGCGTCGCACGATAAAATCGCATCGTTTGACCGATGTACGATTTAGCCAATTAGGACAATTAGGCCTAATCAATTTAGTATCCAAGGGCTTTATCTAATAATGCCAAATTTCGTGTGTTCTCTTTTATGAAGGTGTGCGTGTGTGAGTGCACGCACCGCATGCGTTGATGGGCGTGGGCGGAGGCGGGGGGCGGGCGGCGCGAGCGCTCCGCCTGCTGCTGCTGTTCGTACTCGCGCTAGCGGCTGTCGAATATCTGTTCGGATCTATATTAGATGCCTCACCGATAAAAACTTACTTGTATCAGCCTATCTACAACGCCACACTGCCTACTTTAAGGTATTTACAATCAAACCTTTACTTTGTATTAATTATTTTCGAACAGACACAGTTTGTAATTGTAACATAAGCCCGACAACATGTTTTAAGATGGAGTATACTGATCAGCATTCATGAGCAATGGTTATATATACGTTGTGCAAAAGTAAAAGTGTTAATTAATTAAGACATAAACGACACGATACATGGCTTATAAAATAGTACAAATTTCATATTTAGGTAGTCGCTATTGTGATTCTCATTGTGCCTATGGATACTCGTTAATATGGAAGGAAACAAGAGACAATGAATATTTTATTATTTCCATATATATTGTTTTCAGATCAGGAGAAAAAATAGTTCCAGCCTGGCCTAAAAGAGTACCGACAATAGACGACCTAACTCAGAGCCCCGACATGAAAAACTTTACAAACAAAACCGACCCCATTGTAAACAATAATATAACACAAAGTCAATCAGCAAACATGACTAAAGCCATTATGTTAGAAAACTCGACCTCGCTGATCGTCACTAAAATCATGGATGGAATAAGAAATCAATCGACGCCAGAGAATGTAGATACAAGAAAAAACGAAACAGAACTGCCCATGTGTTTTGATGAATTACCAGGAGATTACGGTAATGACATTAACCTGATAGGTATCAACTAAACATAGTAACCGAATGACAGTCAAAGCGTATCTCTTATTTCTAGAAGCATTTTATTCTCTTCAGAACCAGAAAAAAAGGCCGTTGGTTTTAAGCATATCAGCCCGCTTAGTTTGAACGCAATCGCGATCGATAGACATTTCAATCGTGCAGTTTTGTACCCTTGATTGGGTACACTAGCGCCAGAGTATGTTAGTGAAGCAATCATGAGGCTGATTATTTGTTGCTATGAATATCCAATTTGTTCTTGATTTCAAAAAATATTGGCCGGCACTAAGTTCACACTCGTCGTTTAATATGTGTAAAGACATTTAAAATATACTAATATCAAATCATTAATGGTATTCGAACGTAATTTGTTACCTATTTTAATGATTGGTAGTTTAATAGAGTCAGATTCGAATGTTAAATGATTTATAGTATATTATTGGACAATGATATTACCAGCGTTAGTATTTATATTTAATTGCTATAAATATCCTATCCTATTAATATTATAAAGGCGAAAGTTTGTAAGTATGGATGTATGGATGTTTGTTACTCTTTCACGAAAAAACTACTGGACGGATTTGGATAAAACTTTACAGCAATATAGGTTATACATCAGAATAACACATAGGGTACTTTTTACTGGGAAAACTTCTCACTCCCACGGGATACCGACTTCCACGCGGACGAAGTCGCGGGCGTCCACTAGTAAAACTATAATTACTTATCACCATACATGCATTTGTTTAATGAATGAACTTTTTTATTTCATGAATTTGTTAGTTCAATATTTACAACCGATAGATTAATAGGTGAAAGTTAATAAATAAATAATTATAATATTGTTTTCAGGACCCGTACCTGTTAATAAAACTGAAGTGGAACTCGATGTGGTAGAGAAATTGTACCCCGAGGTACAACCAGGTGGAATGTTTACCCCGCCAAACTGCAGTGCCAGGCATAAAGTTGCCATTATTATCCCATTTAGGTAATATTGAGTTTCTTTAATGAAAAACTACCTAACATCAAGAAATTAGTTATTTCTAATTACGGAAAAGTGACTGTATTTTTTTATTATCTTGTGTAGTTTAATCTATCTAGCAATATTTTTATAGTCGTCTAGAAATAGATGAAAGTTAAAATTTGAAAACTGTCAAAGGAGAAGATGACAATGGAAAAAAAATACGATTCTAAACACATCGCAACAGTATGTTAGTATATTTAGAAGTACTCAAAACAACCGAAAACCAAAAACTGAATTCAAATAATTTAATGTTTTATTCCTATTCTTGAATAAGTCGGAAAAGCTTCGATACGGTAATTAATGATCCAGAAATAACTTTATCCAGCGTTGCTGATGTTTATGAGTCGTGACCGTTTAATGTATTATTATGAATTTTATCGTAGGTACTCTATTTACCTTTAGCATTTAAAATATGAAAGTTAGAGAAGTATAACGAAAAGACAGTCCACTATATTTCGAATGTCATTTATTATTAGACATTAGTCTACAAAGCCAGTCTAGGCCGCTCACTTGTAACATTCGTTTTCACAAAACCTATTTTTCCATGTGCAGAGATCGGCAGCAGCACTTAGCCATATTCTTACGTCACATGCACCAATTCCTTATGCTCCAGGAGTTAGAATACGGCATTTTTGTTGTGGAACAAGATGGTGAGTAACAGATATATTTATTTTCTCATATACATATTTTATTAAACTCCAACGGTTCAAATATGTATTTTTTAAAGCTAAATATTTTCACCGCAACTGTCTTGCAACTGTCTCTACTGTAGAAAACTTAATTTCCTACAGTAGAGACAGTTGCAAAGAAAATTATTGAAAAATTATATTGAAATATTTCAGTCACCTTTTGTAGCGCATACGTTAAAGGAGAGTTTCGTATACCGTTCAATAATGTATGTCCCACCACAACACCGAAAGCTTTTGATCTCGATTAGTGGTTTAGAATCGCAGCTATAATATTATCAAATACTAGCAGCGTTGGATTGCTGTTTGGCTTATAACAATGGTTACAGTCTACTTACTTGAGCAATTTATAGATTTATGAGAATAATATTGTTATAGAACAATAAATATGCATGTACTTTTTTATATTTTTAAATGACAATTTTCATCATTACATTAATGTAAAAAAAGTATTCCAGCACTGAAAAAAATAATATTAGGTTCAAAATAAATGGTTTCATAATTGTATGCTGATATCAGCTTTTTAAACGAACGCCATTTTGGCGCGCTGACATAACGTTATCGATCATAACAACGAAACGAAATCTTAAGGAATAGCTGCAGTGTTTTGACGTGGTTTTTGCCTTTATTCTATTAATATTTTGTATTTAACTTGGATTATATAATGTAACAGGACAAAAAAGCGTTATTTTAGTACTGTATCGTGCCTTTCTGTAAAAATACAAATATAAATGCACCAAATAATATGTCATTTATGGTATTGGAAAGGTGCGCATAAAGAAAAAGTGGTATAATATCATAAGAAACAATATGATATCTCCATCAACCACTATATATACCTACGTGCGTAAATCTAAAAGAAAAGAGTTTATGTATAAAAAAACTATCGTTATTTTGAATCCTACGCATGTTCCCTGTTATTCTATTTTTTTATTTTTGCAATAACCTATAATATTTAGTATAAATAGGGTTACCTTACGTAAATGTCATATAACAAAAATGTTAAGATTCGAAATAACAGAAAACATGAAGAAAAGAATAACACTATTTCACTTTTTATTACTAATATAATACTACTAGAAAATTATTTAGATACTTAATTAAATACCAAAGAAACTTAGTGAGCGAGTTTTCACAGTGAACTGATTTGTAGAGAATATCAACATTGAGTTTGCCAAGAATGGCAACGAAGGTAACTTTTTTAATTACGTGTACTTTTTGTTATAGGTAATACTGAATTTAATCGTGCGAAACTAATGAACGTTGGATTCATGGAGAGCCAAAAGTTGAAAGCGGGTGGGTGGCAATGTTTCATATTTCACGACATCGATCTGCTGCCGCTGGACCTGCGAAATATGTACTCGTGCCCGAGGCAACCACGCCACATGTCTGCTTCTATTGACAAGTTTAACTTCAAGTAAGTATTGTATTAAGACTAATTATAATTCGTATATCGATGAAGCTGTCAACATTATGACCTGTTCTTCATATATTTCTTTCCGTGCTGCAAACTTGTACCCCAGAAATGGGAAAATAGGCTGGTGTGGCGATTAATGTAGATGTAAGATATGAATATTTGTCGTAGACTATATTGGGCTTTAAGCCAAACTGCACTTGGATAGAATAAATGTAGCAGAGACGTGTGCGACCTGAATTTTATGAATTATAGCGATAACGATAGAGAATAAACGAAATGAAATATTGAAACGGTCTTAGTCGTATATATAGTCGAATAGAAGTAATTGCATAACTAAATGTCATAACTATAAGCAGATATTTTACCATATAAACAGATTTTGTTTGAAGTAAGAACTGCATTTACCTAATAGTAATCTAACTTTTTAGAGGTCTTTCATTCAACATCATGTTTATTTGTTCAAAATCTTTGCTTAAGTTATGTATGACATTTTACTCAAGTAATTATTTCTCTTGACTGAGGTACGAAATATGAAGCGATTAAAATGATTTGTAGCACTAATTTATTGGATTATATTAAATTATCAAATTGTTCTACTTTTGACAAACCAAAATTTTTTTTCCTTACTGTATAGGGATAAAGTGAATTTTTAAACATTTTTCAATAGAATATTTTCCAGTATAGCATTTTGAAAGCAAAATTGATCAAATATAATAATCATTAGGCATGTTAATTAATTAAATTTAAAACAAAAAAAAATCAAACGCCAACTATGAAGATTTGTCTAATAGTTACAAATCCTACAAATCTCTTAGAATACAAATATCCAACACCAGCTTTATTTTATAAAACTACAAATTTATGAGCACTCCAACATGTCCATTCCTAGTCCCATAAAATAAGATCCAATATCATGAAATGTTCAAAAATATAGGTAGGTTGGACAAACGTTGGAGTTTTTGATGGCCGAAAAAGACTTCTTATTGATGTTTCGCTTTCCCAGATTGCCCTACGAAGATATTTTCGGTGGAGTGTCAGCGATGACACTGGAGCAGTTCACGAAAGTCAACGGCTTCTCAAACAAATACTGGGGATGGGGCGGGGAAGACGACGACATGGCGTACAGGTATATTACAAAACCGAATACGAAACAATTTCACATAAATTTAAATCACATAAATCCTTTTTTCTATGGATATGAAGAGAAACATAAAAAATATAATTTTTTATTCATCTATTGCAAACCACAGAGGTCGTCATATAAGTACAGAGGTTTTAATATTTAAATAAAATAATAAATAATATATGATTACTGTGGACTTTAGTTGACTGACAGGCTTGCGATATCTGTTGCAATCATTAAAGTTTTTGGCTTTGAGATCTTTTAATAATACCTTTTATTTAATAATAGATAACTTATTAAACACTGAATTTAATTGACCTACAGGTTAAAGAAAGTTGGCTACCATATAGCGAGATATAAAATGTCCATAGCACGATATGCCATGTTAGATCACAAGAAATCAGCAGCAAATCCAAAAAGGTAAGTTCATCAGCTACTATGAGTACGAAATTAATTACAATTAACCAACATCTTCAATTGAATATCTAATTAAGACGTCATAGCGTCTTTGTGTGAATGTTTAATGTGTGAATTATAAACAGTGGCGTAGCGTTCCTGTATCAAAATTAGTTGGAGGAGGGTCAAATGGAGGTTAACAATTTTTTCTTACATACGTTGCAGCCCCGTATCATTCATACAGTGGTAGCTAAGCCCCTGATTACAATCCAAATAAAATATTATACCTTTATGAGGTTACTTTATATCTAAACTAATATCATAAATAGCTCAATGGCGTAGTGGACAAGCGCCGCGGCCCGCGATCATTGTTATTAATCAACTTTCGCAAAGATCGGCCACGGGATGGGTGACCAAAAAAATCTCTAACTCCTCCGTGCTTCGGAAGACATCTGAAACCGTTGGTCCCGGCTGCATTTACAGTCGTTAATACCCTCCAATCCGCATTGGGCCGGCGTGGAGAGTCATGGTCCATCTTCGTTAACCATCCATAACGAAGGTATGAGCCCCTGCACTGTGGACGTATGATGATGATGATTATAAATTTATATTTGGTTGTGTATTTGTTTGCATTAAATAGGTTCCGAAACTACTGCACCTATTTTAAAAATCGTTTCACCTACGAGTAGCTCCATTATACGCGGTTAAAATACATTGTAATTTACGAAGACGGAGTCGCGAGAAAACAGTTAATTATCTATAAAACATATCCTCACAGGACTAGACCAGCCATCGTCATAAACTTCGCGTTATGAGTTATAGTTAGTACCCCAAAAGCGGGGATAATAATAATGATGATGCTAATTTCATAAAACATGCAGTAATTCAGCTCAGGCGTGTTCTTAAAATTTATACTACAGGTGAACTGAGCGCTTGTGTTGATGCCTACAAAAAATAAAATTACATACTACTTATTTTAGGTACACGATTATTATTATGGTGTAGTATTAGGAATAAAAATAAAACATTATGTTAATATGATAAAATCGTCGGTAGGTAGGACAAGGAAATTTGTGCACGTATCAGTCAGCGCGTGAAGTGACTTAGATACAGCCGGTTTCTGTATTGAGAAAAGTACAAAATCTCAACTAATTATTTTCAATATCTTAAGTTTTATACGTTCCACGAGTCTAAAAGCCCTAGTCGTATCAAACTATATAAACTAAACTAGTCTTATCAACTGATTATTAATAAAACTAAAATCAGAAAAACCTGTTTAAGTATAGTTTAAGACGTTCTTAAATTAAAATTCTCAATTCAGAAACCGAGTGACAGAGTGACATTACGTTATTATGCCATTCAGAGAATGCTTAGCGGCCACGTAAACAACGTTTCAATGTATGCGTGCGCCGATTCGTCCACTTTTATGGAGTGGAGTTACTGTTCCTTTTATCTATTGTGCTAATGTTCTCAAGTGCGAATATTTTATTTCAGATATCAATTATTATCGCAGACCAGTAAGGTGTTCCAGAAAGACGGTCTATCCACGTTACGATACCAAATTGTGAAGGTGACGCTTAATCATTTGTACACTCATATAGTGGCTAACATCGACGAGCCCAGCTGATGGACATACTTCGCCAAACTATTGTTTGGCGTAGAACGATAACGTTAAAACTTGTATGTGTGATAATCCAATATGGTGGTTACCAGAGTGATCTCTCAATACGAAAGACGCGCTCTAACAGTGCTTAATTAAGTATAGTGACATTGTCATCTCCACGTTTAAGTAGCTGTATCAAAATACGTTTTTAATTGTGTTCATTGACAATCAACAAGATATTTAAACATGTTTTTATTTTTAAATCAATGTCGGAAATAATATTGTTAACTTTCTTTTTATAGCAGGCAACTGAAATAACAGCAAACCTCACCGATAACACCAAACGAATTGGTTTTCCTTTGATTAAATACTTGTTCAAAATTTATGTTACCAAAAGTTACCTTAACTTCTTTTTTGTGACAGCATATGGTGTTAAATCTGACATAATTTTCAAAACAATTTTAAACCATAATGTAATAACTATTAAGTTCAAAGTTCGCTACTTACAGCTTAATATTCATACTCATGGTTGAGAATTCATTTTTGCAGGTTTGATGTTATTTCAGTAACACGTTTTTGATGGCAATAAAAATTTAAACATCACATTAGACATATTTTACAGATATCCTAACCGAAGAATATACGCTTTTACGCTTTTTATTATAGAACTGAATGTTGCTTAGCAAATGGAAAGATTTTGATTTCCATGGCTGTCAGTTCACACGAAATTATAGGTAAAGTTACACACATATATTTTTTTAAATGTAGATTTAACATACTAAGTGTATCATAGATAAATACATAGTAAACGTCTTTTGTCATAGATTTTTTTTTAATTAGCCAAACATCATGATACTATAAGGCAAGAAAATATTAAGTACTTTAAAGTATAAGTAATCAAATTTCGCTTGTATAAAGTCGAAATTAATTGGTTACTACATTTTGAATTGTCAGACCATATTAATTTAAAACTTCGTAGAATAAAGTCAAATTTCTTCAACCGTCCCAAAAATAAAAGGACTTAGAAAGTTTTTCATTGAAATCTGAAGCTTAAACAATAAAAAATGACCTTTGTATACAAGTAATCGTTCTACAAAACAAATAGGATAAACCATTTTCTCAACACGTGGGTCGCCAACCTATGGCTCTCATGACTTCACCTAAAATCTCGTGTAAATCAGCCATTAAATGATTTTATTTGCCTTGCTAGTCGTTAGTATATTATAAAATGTTCGCTTATTTTTTTATATATTTTTTTTTATTGTTCCTCATCAATGTAATTATTTTATAAGTACAGTTAATATTATTAAGTGTAGATCAAACAGTAATGTATTAGATAAATCATTGTACATAAGGCCATGATTCAATATTTAGGTAAATAAAATGGATAATGACAATATAAAGCTAAATCATATATTATTAATTTTTATTTTGTCTTGTACATTCAACAGCACGTCAGGTTATACAAATCTGATAAAATTCACTTTTCAACCCGACTACATTGAGGGTAGAGCTAGAATTTATATATTGTAGTAACTTGACAGGCTGCTGTGTGTACACACTGTCCGAATGTTTATGATTAAAATTAGCTGAATGTACATAAGTAAATAAATTATTTTTATTTTATTAATGTCTCACAAAAACCTAAGAAATCTTTAAATTAAGTTATATACCTATTAGATAATAATATTTAAAAATTATCTACACATTATTAAGTCTTTATATTATATTTTTATTCAAGACATCAATTAATGAAATCAATTATTTTATCTAGGCGTCATTCTTAAAAGTAATGTATTATAAAATTGAATAGCGGCCTAATTGACACACGAGAAATCACCTCGCTTGTAAGTTTGAGATTTTTTATTTAGTTTCTAAACTTATTCTTGTCATTTTTACTGTTATAAGAGATCTTGTTATAGATATAGTTATTTTAAATGTAAATCAAACCATCATTAGTGATTTATAAGAAAACAAGAAATTGAAAAACCTATAATAATAAAACCTATGATAATAGATTCTTGTACTTACTTAACATATAAGAGAATGTATAATAAAGTTCTGTAGTAGATATACCTACATTGTTTATAATACGTATTCTATCATCCGATAATTAATACATATAATAAAAAAAAAAAAAAACGAATAATTATACATACATATTCGATATTTATACTACTGTAAACCCCATTAAAGTACTATGATTTTGTTAAGATACGTTTTATAATGATTTAGCCGCTAAGCGTCTCATGGAACATTCCGATTACATTTCAATTTAGAATTATTTATAGTAATTTAACATTATTTTTACCTCCCGATAACAGTACTGGCGTTTTAATTTGGATTCAACAAATATAAATTATACTTCCTGTTAAATGTTTTATACTTCCTTTAAAATAATTTTGTTGTATTCAACCATCTATTTGGAGTTTAGAAGTCCTAAAATCAGTTTATTTTACTCGTTTAAATTAAGATCAAGTCTGCTATTCCGTAAAAAGTTAAACATGTTATTTAAATTTAGGTTTAGAGTATACGTAACGACAAGTTTAACAGTTATAACCTAACCCAACCTAACTAAACGTTGTTTACTCTGTTCTATACGATAAAGTGTCTTTCCTTAATTCCCCGTTGCATACTCTCCAATTTGAAAAGTTATAGAAGATGCTTAATAGTTAATGAACAGGCATATTTTCATCAATAAATAAAAATGTTCTAACTCTATTCCCATGTATTAATTAATAGTCGATAACCATAGTCGCTAGTGGATTCTTATTTAATTTTCTTTATTTATTTGCGCTCTAAAATTTAACCAAAAACCAAACTCAATTGATAACATTATTAGTAGGACATAAAAGTGGTTAAGGTCAAGGTTGTACGGCTCAAATCTGTGGTTATATGGCCATTAAATGATTTGATTTGATTGGTCAATTTATTGTTTATTAAAGGCATCATTTTAATATCTCATTCCTCAAATCAATGATTTCTAATCTTCTTACACAAATTCCAAAAGGTTAAGTTTTTAAATACTATAGTTTGCTTAGAATTAATGGATACAATGTGATAAAAAATGAAATAATCGCTTTTTGTTACTTTTATTTTTTAACAGTGAGCAGTGTCTCGTTTTTATATTTGGCCTATTGAGGTAACATTTTAAGTCAATAAATTCTAAGATAAATATCTAGAATACCAAATAGCAACTGAAGAACCGAACTAAAATCAAAAAGTCAAGCGAAGGGTCTTCTTCTTTTTAATTAATGGCTTTGCCCTTGTGGATTTCGCCGGTCAATAAGAACTAGAAATTGACAATTGTTATCATCCCCAGTTAGCGCCACTGGCAAGTAAAATACCTTAGAGTTTGAGTATTTGGTAACGGACTGATAAATAAGGGACAAGATGGTGAAGTAATTTCTTTATCCAAGTGGGTGGCGCTACCGGACTGGTGGACGTAACATATCACTGTATTATATTTTTATTAAATTTAATGTTAGATATTCTTAAAAAAAAGCCAACGTAATACAAATAGAATCATTACGTACGCTTATAACAATAGAAATAACCATTTTCGGTATGAGTTTAGAGTCATTTAATATTTCTAAAACGAACTTACTCTACACCAGCTTCTTTGACTTTCTTTTATGTAAACACCCTTTTTTATAATCACCCCAAACCACATTATTTAAATGATAACCAAATGTTTATAATCAAATATAATGGACACGTGCATAACTTAAAGCAATTTTTATAAATTTTCTGTCGATATGTTTGAAACAAATATTAGGTTCTTACATATGAAATTGATGTTTGATATAGGAGGAACAAAAAGTCGAATATTCTTTAATATAATACATTTTTAATCAAAGTATAAACCATTGCTATCTATGCATTTTTGTTGATCCCCTTACTAAAAAACCATTCGGACGGGAATCAATAAAATCTTTGAAGGCGATTTGCAATGCCCCATCGGAGTTAAATTTTTTCCCTTGCAAGAAGTTATCCAAATTTCGAAAAAAAATGGTAATCTGTTGGAGCAAGGTCCCGGTAGTGCGGTGGATGTCTAAGACATTCCAATTGTAGCTCTTCTAATTTGGTAGCCGTCTGTTGTGCGTTGTGAAGTAGCAGTGGCGTAGAGCGATTGACCAGCCTCGGTTATTTAACAGCTAATTTTTCCAGCATTGTTTGCAATTGCTGACAATAAATGTCTGTCGTAATCGTCTGGCCAGATTTGAGAAAACTGTAATGGTCGTGCATTAGTTCACCAAACGCTTACATGAAACAATTTTAGCTTGGAGCAGTATTTGGCTAGCATGCCAGGGTCCAACCATTGCGATGAGCGCTTCCAATTATCGTAGAGAAACCACATTTCATCACAGGTTAAATGATTCGATTTAAAAACGCTTCATTATTGTGTCGGTTAAATAATGTAACGCAGCAGTCGAAGTACGTTTGCCGGTTTGCTTCACTCAATTCGTGAGGTACCACTTTTCAAACTTTTTAATCTTTCCGATTTGCTTCAATTGGATTAAAACAGTTTTATCACTAACACCGCCGCTTACAGCTTACTCGAATGTGGTTTACGATGGATCCGCTTGCACAATAGCCTTCATTTCTTCATTATTAACTTGGGTCTCCGGCCGTCCTCGGGGCTTGTTCTGCAGGTCAAAATTTCCAGAACGAAAACGGCGGAACCAAATCGCACTGTGTTTTCTTTTGCGACACAACCGCCATATACATTATTAACCCTTCGAGCCGTTTCCACAGCACTGCAACCACGGTGGCACTCGTACTCGTAAATAACACAATATTTCAAGTTTTCAATTTTTTATACTAGGTGACGTAAATAGGACAAACAGAAGAAAAAAAACAAATGAATGCCGCCTAACGAAACACAAATACATGTGTAAATGGGTGTGTAAATTTGAATTTGGAATTCCCAACCAAGAAGGAGAAATTTGTAATTAAAGTGGCCAGTACGACAAAACGCCAATTTCATATGTATGGACCTAATATTAATAATACCTATATAATATACGGCGATGTTTTATTATCGAATATAATTTTGAAAACGTTTTATTGAAACTTATTTCCATTGTGTATTTTTTATGTTTTATCAAATACATAAATTACTTAACAAAGGTTACATGTTTTTATGAAACTTATTGTTTAAAATACATTTTTAAATCTTAAATATATGTTCACTAGCAAATTAATGAACATTTAAAGACAATCTTTTTACGAGTATTACTTCACAAATAATCTTGTAAAAATATTAATTTAACAATAAAATTGCATTTTAAATAACTTCTCAAATTCTTGTAACTTACAAAAATCTTGTAGTATTTACCTATGCAATAACATAGCAAATCTAATATGGAGTATAAAAATAAAGTTAATACCTAAATGTATTACAAAGTAGCAAAAGTTTTATACATTATCGTGATGTCATGTATTTAAGAAACAGTTCTGAATATTTTGTTATTATAATTTTATTTTTCATTTACAGTATAGGTCGAATAAAAATGAAAAACACTTAGAACTGCCAATCCTAACTTTCAAAAACATTATCAAGGTGATTTAAAATCCAGAATGCTACTTAGAAACCAGGAGCCATGATATCCCATAGCACTATAAATACTAAGAAACATGCACGCTCATGATCATGGAAAAGAGGACCGCTGGCAACCCTAATCTACAATAGCTGATTAATATGCTAAAAAACCTAAACTTTGCTTTCCGAATTTAATTCTGTCACTTGTGACACGACCTTTATAATTACATTGTTAAGCAGTCGCATCTACAATTTAAAATCCTACACAGGGAATATACCAAATTGAGATCATATTATTTAATTGCTTGCTAACTATGTATATAC